AGGCTCAGGCTCTGAGCTGTCAGCACAGAGCCCGATGTGAACTCGAACTCACGGGACCGTGAGATCTGACCCAAGCCAATGGGGCATGGCTAACCATTGAGCCACCACCCAAGCCCCAGACAGGCTTTAAAAAAAAAAAAAAAAAGACTGTACCTAAGCCTGCCAAATGAGCTGGAAAAGGCAGGTCTGCTAAAATCATTGCCACCATGGAGCTGGGATTCAGCTATCTTCACTTTCCTCTACCATAGGAAGCAAGTGAGGGAGAAAAGTCATACATTATTCTGATTGCTAGTAGAGGAGTGCTTCCTGAATAGCCTGCTTGTAACGCTGCTGTAGGTGTGAGTCCTTCATTTTTGCTGGGCTTGAATTCTGTCTCTCAATCCTGTGAGTTCCTACTTCTGTTGCCTTCTGACTCCTTGTTGAAAATCTCATAAAAAAATCCAGTCCACCACTAGATAATTATGTGACTTTTCTCTTTCTAGGAAAAAAAACCCTCCAAATGATAACTTGACTGCATAGAAACAAAACATAACTCACTCTTTTTTATAATTCCTGAGTGCAGAATAATAGGAAATAAGAGTGTTAAAATGAAAATGCAGGAGGCAATAACAGCAGTAGCTTTGGCTATAGAGAATAGAGAGTAACTGTTCTTAAGACCTTTTTCCAAGTATTCAGTGAAGTTTGGTTAATTTCTTTTTACTCTAGCATTTCAAGTCCTTGAAGTGCATATATGGTTCAGATTTCACCCCAGGGTGCCCAGAAAATATTCTGTAAGATGTAGGCTTATATTCTTTGGAGGGCTTACAGGGCGAGTCTAGTTCTTATGATTAACCAGAGCTGTAAGCACCTGATGTAAATTATGTCTGGGTACCAGTATTTAAATATTCAGTCTTTACTCTGTCAATAGACTTGAGTGAACATACTTTGATTTTTTTTTTTAAAGGATCTGCAGTTGAGACCTCACTTAAATCTCTTAACTTTGTTGCTTGGTAGCCAACACGTCTTAACTTCCCAGTCAGTATTTATAAGGTTAAAAGGGTATCCATCTAGAATATGCCGAAGGCCCATGGCAGATTTCCAGAGCTGGGGTCTCTAATTACGGTCTATATTAGTCTTACTCTGCCTAGCTTTTCCCCCATATTATAAGTTAGCATATGATCCAAAATAAGCAGATCTAAACAAAAATTTATATGTAAACATATATCACAACTTGTTTACATGGACTGCTGGGAAGAGGCTTCTCTATAAAGAATTTTTGAATAGTTGTTTCTGAAAACAGCTGCTTGGTTTATGTGAAATCTTAGAACTATTTGTGTTTCCTTTTGTGTTTTGGCTGTTGAATAAGAATCAAATGTGTGAGGGGTGCCTGGATGGCTCAGTTGGTTAAACATATACTTGATTTCGGCGCAGGGTCATGACAATCTCTCAATTTATGAGATTGGAGCTGTGTCTGTCACGCTATGATCGCAGAGCCTGCCCAGGACTCTGTCTCTCCCTTTCTTTCTGTCCCTTCCCTGTTCGCTCTCTCAAAAAATAAATAAATGTTAAAAAATAATTTCTTTAAAAAAAAAGAATCAAATTTGTGGTCTGGCTGAAGCATATAAACATGGACACACACACACACACATGTATACAATAGCATGTGGATGAACCTTATTGTTTGATTCTTCATTATCCTTTGGTCCTGAAAAGTTATGTAGATTTCAGCTAGAGATTTTTTTTTTCAGAGGGCATTCTGAATGTTTTAGCATATGCCATGATAAGTCTCCCAAAATCAGAATAGCTGCTCCAGATGTTTCAGTTGCCCTTATTCAGCTGGTGGGTTTCTTACCTCCTCACTATTTCTCTGCTTTCTTCTTCTGGAGTTCTGTACAAGCTTAGGCTTTGGCTGCCTCCCTACTGATACGGTCCCTGCACTGCATAGCCCTGGACATGGAATTATTTCCCCTCTTTCTCAGTGACTGCTTTTCTTGAAAATGTTAATAACTAAAATTCTCTGCCTCATCAAGATATGAAAAGAATATTCATATCTTTCTAACTCCTTAGTGAAAAAAGGAAGTACTGTAAATTTGACTTAGAACTTAAAGAAGCCTGGATTGATGCTTGAGGTTCATTTCTTTTCAGGTTTTGTTTGATGGTTTGAGTTTAATATTCTTAAAATTTGTCCTTTTTTTTTTTTTTAGGTGAATGTTGGATATTATTTACCCAAAGGTAGAATTTTTATTTCTTCTTCCACACTCCTTTCACATATTTGATAAAGCAATGCATTGATTTATTTCTTTTGAGTGAGTGAATGAGATTATATCTAGGAATACAATGGATTAAGTTCCAATTGGTCTGCACAAGAATTGTTCTCAATCTAAATTACTGTAATGGAATCTTCTAAAGTATTTCTTATTCCAGTTCTGTACTCATGGATTCAGCAACTTCTGTGGTGTCTTTGCTCCTAGTATCACAATTTTAGAGATTACGTT